CAAACTTCCTTTTCTTCTGGCTCTTACAATCTTTCCAACCCTCTTCCAAGATGATTCCTGAGCCTTAGGTTCAGGAGTTGTGTTGTAGATATGTCCGTTGGGGATGGGCATTATACAATCATTTGTTCTCTGTACTTTGGTCAGTTATGGTTTTCTGTAATGGTCTCAGTTCAGCTAGATGCTGGTGAAGGATGTACAGGACCTGGCTTGGCTAAGAGGCTAGATCAACCTTGAGCTTTGCCTCCTGAGGCTAAGTGTAGACCATATCACCATGCACAGTGTATAAGCTACTCATCTAGAGTCCAGGGCTTTCTTTTATGCCAGGCAGGAAGCTTAGTAGCTGAGCTACATCTCTAGCCCCTCATTCACTTATCTTACAAATATAAATGCAGTGCAGTGTCAGGTGGAAAAATAAAGACTGCCTTTATAACTGCATCATTGCCTTCTAGAAGCTTGTTCTCTTAAAAGATGCAAAGAAGTAAATGTGACTGGAAATAAAGCTCAATACCTTCTTCTGGCCTCTGGACTCCCACACACATTAATAAAAATAAATCATTTTTTAAAAATTAGAACTGGCTGTGAAAAGACACATACCTTTAATCCTAGCAGAGGCAAGCTGATTTCTTATGAGTTCAAGACCAGCCTGATCTATATATCAGGCCATATATAGGCCAGCAAAGCCTATCTAGTGAGACTTTGTCTCAGAAATAAGTGAATAAATAAAATGTGCCAGGTTGGGCCAGCCAGCAAGGTAGCTTAGTGGGTAGAGATGCTTGCCACCAAGTCTGAGGGCCTTTATTCAATGCCTCTGATTCCACAAGCACCTGTGGCATATGCTAACCGTGGAACATAATGTGTATGCATAAACACCCACAAAATAAATGTAAAAAATAAAACATGCCAAAGTGTTTGAGACAGAATATCACACTGTTGATACTCCCAGAAAGGAAGGAAGACACTACCTAATATCCATAGCATACAAGCAGCTCAGTAATTGATGAGGCTGCAGAATTTGTAGATACATGCTAAGTGTTCGTGTCGTCCTGAAAGATAGAAACAGTGGTCCCTACTCAGATCTGGATTGGATAACTAAGGTGTGAGCTAGTAAAGGCACAGAGCAGTATGACGAGATAGTAAGACTGGCCAAGGTAGGTCCACTATTGGTAGGATGTGGGCCTCTCCTTTCTTCTCTTCACTGTGTACTCCAAGGCCTTCACCTAAATGCTACCTTGTATCTTTCATGTTCTATATTTCTTGTCCTTATCCAGGTGCTGACTCCCTAGTAGATCAGGTACGTGTCCTGGGCCTACTGCATGAAGAGCTTCATGGTCCCGGCCCCATGGGAGCACTGAGCACCCTTGCTCAAACAGAGGTGACTGTGAGTGGTAAAATGGGCCAGACTTCAGCCTCCATCCTCTATCGAAGGCCCCAACAACGTGCAACTTACCAGGTCAGGAAAGACAAGAGAGAAGGCTGGAGATTAGGATCAGGGAAGGGCCAGTGTTTTAGTCAAGGTTTCTTTCTATTGCTGCTATGAAACTCCATGACCAAAAACAAGTTGGGGAGGAAAGGGTTTATTTGGCTCACACTTCCATGTTGTAGTTCATCAATGAGGAAGCCAGGCCAGGAACTCAAAACGGCAAAGACCCTGGGTGCAGGAGCCAATGAGGAGACCAAGGAGGAGAGCTGCTTACTGGCTTGCTCATTGTCTTGCTCAGCCTGCTTATAGCACCCAGGACCACCAGCCCACAAGGGATCCCACCAAAGGGATCTGAGCCCTTCTCCATCATTCACTAATTTAAAAAATACCCTACAAGCTGGATCAATCGGAGAAATTTTCTCAATATCAAATTGAAATAAAACTAGCCAGGACAGGCAGCATGATGGGAAGAGCAGTAAAAAAGGATGTTCCTGTGAGGTAGAGGCAGGAGAATTGGGAGTTAAAGTACCGAGTAAGCTCAGAGACAGCCTGGTCTATGATACATGAGATTCTGTCTCAGAAAAAAAAAAAAAAGGAAAGCTTATCTAATTACTTCTGTGTTGATTTGTTTTGTTTCATTTTGTTTGAGGCAGGGTCTCACTTTGTAGCCCTGCCTAGCCTGGAACTTGATCTTATTAATCTATTTACTTATTCATTTGTTATTTATTTATTTATTTTTGAGGCTAGTCTAACTTGGAACCTACAGAGGTCCACCTGCCTCTGCCTCCCAAGTTCTGAGGTTAAAGGCATGTACCACCATGCCTAGCATCTTGGGTTTATTTTTTGTGGTCCTTAAACATGTCAGCACACACACTGCCATTGAGTGCTGTTACCCATCCCTTCCCTGTGTTTTCTGTCATTTTCCTCATTCAGTCTTCACAGCTACCCTGTGAAGTAATTGTTTTATCCTTGTTTTTCAGACTGGAAAACAAAATCCGGGGTTGTTAAAATTTAAGTCACTTACCTAAGTAATAAACACCAAGTGAAATACACAGGATTTGAACTCAGGGTTCCACAACTCAAGAGCTATAAACTAGCCATACATGGTGGCACACATCTTTTATCCCAGCACTTGGGAGGCAGAGGTAGGTGAGTTTGAGGCTCACCTGGGCTACATAGTGAGTTCCAGGACAACTAGGACTAGAGATCCTGTCTCCAAAAACTAAGAGTCTATTAACTTAACCAGTTAAGAATGCTGTCTTACACCAAATAAATGAGGGAGTTGTTTTTCTTCCCTAGACTTGGTGGTTCTCCATTCTTCCTGACTTGAGTGTGGATCTCCGTGAGAAGCTTCCCCTCCATTCCGAGCTACACCCGGATCCTCACACAACCCAGGTATCTACAAGTGGCAGAGCCAGGCCAGGCGTGAGCTTAGAGTCTGGCACAAGGAAAAATAAAGCTAGAGATGTTAGTCAGGCATTGGCAGTGCATGCTTCTGATGCCCTCACAAACATAGGCAGGCAAAATATCGTGAGCATAAAATAAAAGTAAAAATTGTAATGGGAAAGCTAAGCAGTAGTGGTGCACACCTTTAATCCCAGCGCTTGGGAGGCAGAGGCAGGTGGATCTCTGAGTTCAAGACCATCCTGGTCTGCAGTTGTAAGACAGGCTCCAAAGTTACAGACAAACCTTGTCTGGAAAATCTATAAAGGGGGAGAGAGGATGCTAGATGGTAGAGGCAGGCAAAGCTCTGAGTTTAAGGCCAGACTGGTCTACAGAGCTAGTTCTAGAACAGCCAAGGCTATACAGAGAAACCCTGTCCTTCAAGAAAAAATAAAAACAAAAACCTAGATGTTGGGAGGTCTGGGTTGAAAAGAAGAACTGATTGGCAACAGCACTTGTACCCACAGGTGGATCCCACGACTGATTTGACCTTTAACCTTCACTTATCCAAGAAAGAAAGAGAAGCAAGAGACAGCCTCACTCTACCCTTCCAGTTCAGCTCTGAAAAGTAAGGGTTGGGCTGGGATCTCAGCATCTGGGTCCAGGAAGGTGGGGCAATGACGGGTTATTGATTAACCTCAAGATTTTATAGGGACTGAAGTCCACCTTCAGAGACAAGTCTAGGAGTGGTTCCTTGCCCACCTATACAGAATTCCTACAATGATAGAGGGCCTTTTCCTCACTCTCTCCAGTAAAGCTATGGGCCCTGGTTGAGCCAGACCAGATGAGGAGGTGGCCCTTTTCTCCAGGTAGTGGTGCCAAAACTGTAACATATATGGGTGTGGCAAGGACTGATTGACAGGGCTCGTGAGCTGCCTCTTGCTCTGTGCCGGGTATGTGGGTGGGTGTAAAGCATGACTGAAGAATCTTCCCCTTCCAGCTGCTAAGGACTTGGGTTTTGTTAGGGCAGTCCCTATTCCAGGCCCTAGTGGGAAAATGACATACATAGGATTGCCTAAGTGAGTATCGCTGTCACCTAGAAGGAACTATCCAGACCTGCCTATCACCCACCCTCATCATCGTCACTTCTTCCTTCCTCAGACAACAAGCTCTGCTGCGCCGTGGACCAGGCCAGACAACTAGCCACATCTTCTATGAACCAGATGCTTTTGATGACGTGGACCAAGAAGACCCAGATGATGACTTAGACATTTGACTAGACAAATGGGAGAGGAAGACTGCCTCAGAACCTTACCGATCCCTACCCTCCCTTTGTTGCTTTGTGTATGGAGGCCCTGTTCTATGAACCAAGGAGTGGCATCTAATTGGGGCAGAAAGTGTGGTGAAAGCATAGTGTACAGCAAGAGAATAAGGAACTTCTCTCTTCCCATGCCTATTTCTAATAAAACAGATACACATGAATATTAGTTGAATAAGCTCCTTGGTAACTACTTAAAGAAAAGTATATGTTGTGGGTAGGGGCTGGAGAGATAGCTCAGCAGGTAAAGGCAGTTGCCACAAGCCTGGTGACTTGAGTTCAATCCCTGGAACCCACAGAAAGGTAGAAGGAGAGACCTCCTTCCACAAAGCTGTCTCTGACCTACACATGCACACCCATATAGCATTGACCACACAGGATAGTACTTAATGAGAAAAAGAGTTTGGGGAGAATGGGTAAGAGCCTAAAAAATTAAGGACTAAAGGCCTAGGGGTACAACTGGCACTTCACTCAGTTCGATGTTACTATAGGCACACTTCAGTGCCAACTCCTGTGTGAGGATCCAGGTGTGGAGAAAGGAGGCCTGAAAAGACACCTAATTTCCAAAACTTAATTTTTATTACTGTACAAAAAGCACACCCTATGTTTTGTCGTAGTCTCCCAGTCCCTCCTCTACCCCCCCACCCCCTCCCCCGCCCCCAGGACTGTACATGATGTTCAGGGATGGAGTGAAGCAGAGGCCTTTGTCC